ACAATTAGGCAATTTAGGTAATTCTCGACGTAGATTGCATCTTGCTATGGTATTGCCATGACCACGATGAGGCGCAAATCTATGTTAAAACGTCTTCAATAAAATTGAAAAGGTATAATAAGTTTTGAAATCGCTTTAATCCAGGAAATAAGTTTTTCTAAAACAGTATTAACACTAATCATTTTAACTTAAAATATGGCTAAATCTAGATCATACAAACGTATGTCTAGTTGATTAAAATATATCGAAAGTTGTATGTAAGGATAAATGTTTTTGGGACTTTGGTTTTCTTAGCCTACATTGCAAGAAATTGACGTGAATATAGATGGATATATGTAGACGTTGACTATAATAAACGGCCCAAAAAAATACTCCAATCGTTATTTTTTCATCATATTAGCCTTCAAGTAGTGTACAGACTGCTGAACATAAGTCTTTCCCCTTGGGGGGTTTTGCCAGTGGTTGCCACGCTTGGCAGGCGAATTGACAAACGCAGTTAGACTGGAGATGTTTTAAGAGGGACACTGCAGTCCAAATCTTGCCCTCACTTAGTCGCCTCTTATAACACCCACGGGATAGGAAGGAGTGGTCTACGTATATTGGGACTACACGAATAAATATGTTTTTTTTTATTATTGTGTTTTTTTATTAAAATTTTAATATTAATTATATATTATTTAATTTATTTATAAATATTATTAAATTAAATGACAGCTTGAATAATGAAAGTTACCTATTATAAGATTAACACTATTTTATGCTTCATGAAAAGCGCGCCAAAGATATTAGAACATTTTCTAAAAGTACTTTAGGTCTAAATGCATTTATTTAATAGATATAGATTAAAGCGAATATATAAAGGATGTTTTTAGAAAATTGTAATAGCCCAGTATAGAGAACTATGGTAATAGCACAGATAATATAATACTATACTAGGTAACAACCTTCGTACGTAAGTTATCCGACATACTAACATACCAGTGTTATAACTGTAACATCTATTAATTTTCTATTTTTTTTTAATTAGCTTTCTTTTGTCTCCAATAATTCACAATTTCTATCAGATATTCAAAGGTTGATTGGAAGAAATCCCTTTTATAGGATAAGTCCGCCATTGTATTCATTATTTTTTGAAAACTCTGTATCCTATAATTTAACACTTTACTGTACAATAGTGCTACAAACAAACAAACTTTAAATATTTAACTAATAATTATGGTAATATTTTGCGGGAATTTATGCCACTAGTTGATTAGAAGTATGTATTTTGTTTGAAACAGCTAGCATTAGAAAGCGTGCGATTCCCAACACTCGAAATTTGATTACTATTTTCGAGTATTGACAGTCGCACGCATATTAATGGTAGTGGAATTAAACGAAATAATTGTAATCAACTAATTAATAATAACTTTATCCAATTTAAAATTAGTAAATGTCATTTTCTTATATAATTTGTCTAAGATATATGTTTACTTCTAAAGTGTACCTTTAGGCAAGCACTCTAGGTAACCCTTTTATGACTCTTAAAGGATTCCTATGTTCCCAATCAAATAAATAATTTAAGATCTGATTTCACTAAAAAAGCGGCTTTGCTCTTGACGAAGTTAGTACAAAACTTACACGAGATTGACATTTTTCTATCAAAATAATTGTAGGAATTGAAAGGCAATTTAGTATTAGTAAAGATATCGTGTAATATACATACAAAAATATGAAAACCGAGGAGGTCTTCGAAGTTGCTTAAAAATCTAAAATTATGTGTCTGTCGGAATGCATTTTCATTGATAAATTCATTTCAATCCAAAATTATAAGTTCTTTGGTGAATATATATTTCTGTGATGATAGACATACACGTGAGTTTTCTGACAAGAAATCCAATTTTCTTTTTTAAAACGATACTCTAAAACTATTTGATAGATTTCTGTATCCAAAAATTCAAATATCTGGTTTTTATTCAGCCTATCTATTTGCACACATTTTGAGCCTGAAATACGCCGAGGAGGCTGATATTAGATACCTATAGGTCATAGGCATGTGCTCGGCTGTTTCCAATTAAACACATTCCGAGGCCAACACAGTTAATTAGTTTTCTTCCATTTATCAACTCTCGTTTACCTCCAAAGTAAATGTACTCGTATATTCCATTCGCATATACAAACAGATTTCTATAATCCGCCCGACTGACGTTCTTGTTATTAGGAGCGACTGAGCGTGACAAATGAACGCTAACTGTGTAAACAATTTGTACTTAATAGCCTCAGACGACTGAAGTCAAGTGGTTATCTCTGTTTGTTACACACAATAAGGCCAGCAAGGATCCAGTAGCTGTCGGATAGTGCAGGAAAGTCACTATCCAACAGCTACTGTTACTTGTTTGATAATTACGAGTACTGAATCTGTAAGCACAATTAAGGAGATATTGCAGGTCGGTTTTTTTTAACGGATGATAATGGAATGGTAACCTCACCTGCACTAGCGGTATACGCTGGCAAGGCAACAATGACGGATGATAGGTGAGAATGAAAAGGCAGGTCAGTTAGCAAATCATGATGAATACATCTGGAATCTAGCACGATAGTTTCTAGAGGGGACGATGGTTACCTGGAGGTCGACCTGACAGGGTATATTGCTAGCAATGGGACTAGTAGTTCGCATTACTAACAATACCTTCCCCCATGAAGGTCGGTTACTTCATATCTACTTCAAATATTTTTTAATTTACTGTTTACAATTCTTCACTTCTGAGAGGTCAGTTAAGCTATAAAATTCGGCTTTTTCGGGTGAGAAGAATCAGTGCCAAATTTAATGGATGTTCAGAAGCTGCTTAGATAGTAAAAAGTACAGTTGCTGGTTTACTAGAAACTGGTTCGTTCGTAAGGCCAAATGTCATAGAAATGACCTGCAGTGATTACACCGAAGTACAGCTACCCCATGATTACTAATTAGGTCGACCCTAAAAATGTATGTTAAATTAATTATGATAGGATGACCAGACTTCATTTTCACGTATCGTCCCTTGCCCCAACGTGTACTGATAGCGCGGGCAAGGATATCATTTCATATTTATCTCATTAAAAAAATGTCCTTCACTCTCTGTCCGTGAAAACTGGCTTTTATATCTACAGTGACAAACTCGACAGTCGGAAAATTAGATACGTATACCTACATATATTTTTTGGTCACACGCATAAATAATAAAAGTTACAACGTTTGCACAATGAAAAATTAGAAAAGTTTCATATTGAAATATCTATACCTTGTTCAACTTCGAGATATCTACTTTCAAAGTTGGGGATTTAAAAATTGATCCAGCATTATTATTACGCTTCCTTTGTTTAATATAACTTATGTCTTGAATGCCTATGTGAAAAATTTTATGCTAGAACTTTAGCGTGACTTAGATAGGTATATATACTTTTAAGATAAGCAATGTCTTTCAAAGACGAGTGACTTTTTTGGAACGTCGAATGATAGATGTAATAAATATTAAAGACATTTCTTTGCGCAAGATTACAGGGGACAGGTTTGGATGATTGTTGTTGGCTCGGGTAAAATTTTCTGGTAAATATTTTATCAGCCCGTCAGCCGGATATGTCAGCGGTTTCCAACGCATGGAGTGATAGGTCAGAAATAAATCATATGTGTACTAGGGTTATCACATCAAAACTTGAGCAGTTCTGACAAAAAGTTGAACTATAAAAAAATGGTATAAAGATACAAACATTTTTGTATATAAAATAAATAAATAAATAAATCAAATCACACAGAAAAGAAATACAAACAGCAAGTTTATTGTTTTGTGATGAGGGAAGAGTTCTTATTGAGCATAAACCTTTTAAAGAGTAAGTAAAAATGTCATGGTAGTTATTTATGTACTTAATTTAATAAAGATTGACCTTTGATTTAATTGTTATTTAACGTGATCTATTTTAACATAATTCAATGTAAAATTTAAACATTCATTTAATTCCTCTCTCTAAAATAACTAGGCAAAGGGCGTAAGGGCTATACAGAAGGTCAAAAGTTCAGACATATCCGAGTATAATCGCGCGTACGGCACCCACTGTCTTTTAAGATATGTTTTCCTTAATTTCTACATAATCGCTAGATCTATTTACATTTAAATCAACAATAAAAGATTTCCATTTGCATTAGAGATAAAAAACTTGATGTATTATATAAAAGCTGTTTTGATTAAATCAGAGCCCTTATTATTAAAAAGTTGAAAAAAAAAAAACTTTTATGACATCGAAATAACTGTTGCACTTTTTATCAACTAGTATTTATCACAATGCACTTGAGCACATGTAGTTGTTTGTAAAGTTCTGAAGAAGCAAGGGGCGCAATAGCTCCGGATTCCGGACGCTTGGCCCCTTCCATCCGGAGCGGGTCCCATCTTCCGGCATTACCTCGTCCCGCAATCACTTTTCCCCCGCTTCATTATTCGGCCCTGGGCCCCGGTCGGGTCGGAGGGGCGCGGGAGGGCGCTCTGTGTTGCCAACACCCCTATTAAGTTCGCATCAGCCGGGGGTAATTGAATAATCTTTACATTAAAATAAAGGTCGCTTTGTTTCGTACCTTATTTGAATACGGCCGCTTGCGTAAATATTCACGACTGTTCTTGGGTTGCTTTAGATGTTTTATATTCTAATTATAGCTCTCGAGGTGTCATGAATTGGTTGTGAAGCTTTTATCATTAATTTTGCATAGATATTGTTTTAATATATAAAGCAAAAATGATCTCGGACCCTAAATGTAAAATAGTACATTAATTAAACATTTACATTCTGTCAAAAAAAAATATTGAGTAACAGAAACATTAAAATAATATTATTAAAATTTTTCTGTATGTACTATAATCTCTAATATTGTGGTACATTTGCAAATCACTTAATATAATTTTTAGGATTCCTTATTAACTATATGTTGTATTAGGGTTCCTATAATAAAGGGATAGTGGTTGTACGAAGTGGCAACACCGAGGGAGGGTGGTGGACAGTCGCGGGAGACGGGAGGCGGGCGGCGTAGCGGTGCGGCGCGGCGTTCAGCGCGACTTCAGCGGACGCGTTGCGTTAGTCCGCGAGAAGCGGCGCGCCGGTTTGTCCGAAGGTCGGAGCGTGGAACTCCCCGCACCCGGCACCCGCCATCAGGTACGCTACGCCGCGCCACCCTGTTGCGCATTGCACACCAATGTTTATGTTCCACGATATACTCCCTATATTAAATTATATGTGAAAATGATATTAAAAATTCGCGTAACTCGACTTAAACTATTCCCTACGTTTTATATTATTCGCGGTTAAATATTTCATTGATGTTACCTTTTCTAGATTTACGTGCGAATTACGTATAGTAATTATAATACTTAAGGTGCTATGTATATTCTATAATTGATATAATTTCTAAATGAAAAAACAATGGTTTCCATTAATTAAGTAAACTTTTGTCATTTATAATTTTTTCTGTGGACTTTAAAGACAGTTTCAATTTATCTTTGGTGTGCAATGTGAAATTATGAGGGATTATTAAATGATTTTTGTTATTAAAAATAATTTCGACATTGTAATGTTGTAAAACTTTGCTTTTTTTTTAATTATTGTAATTATTAATGTCATTACAAGTAATCACATTATATTTATACAAAAGATACTTACGGGACAATTAGTTGTGCTTGCAACTTTGCGTTTAATTGAACGAAAAAAGGTTTTCAATCGTCGATTTATTTAAATATGCATACATAACTTAAAATGTAAACGAGTGCTAGGTATTTTTTTTTATAAAACATAAAAAATGTATTTTTTTACCTTATAATTGTTTAAGCTTCAAATGGAAAATGTTGAGGTAGATATGGTGTAATTGCATGTTTGACAAAAGTGTTGTATACATTTATTTACTTATTTAAATAATTTTAATAACTAAATTATTTAATGCCAATCGCATTCTCCATTAGACAAAATTGTTATTGTTATATATTTTCAAGAGACTTCAAAAAGAAGGAAGTTCTCTATTGGGTCAATTTTTTTTGGTTTGTTCACTCATAACTCCGTCAGTTGTAAACCGATTTGGAAAACTCTTTTTTTATTCGAAAGGATATATTTACAGATTAGTTCCATTAAAAAATATTAAAAAACGTATCAGTAGTTTAGTTTTTAAATCAAAATAACTGGTTTTGCTACAATTGAAGTCTGTTTTTTTTTGTGAAATGCAATTTAAATATTATAGTTCTATTTTAATCTACATTATGAGTATACATATCCTGTATGTTATGAAAATCTGATAGGTTTCATTTCAGGATGCAATTAAAATATTATATATTTGAAAACTACTAAAGCATATTCCTAAATATTTATAAAAAATATTATTTTATAATAATATATCTAGCATGTCTACATGGCAAAAGGCAAGAAATAGATGTCAAAGTAAAAATAAATAATCATAACAGTTATCTAAATATTCCTTTGTTTATTTTTATAAGGAAATAAATTTCATTTCATATTGCAAAAACCTATTACCGTCCCACTGATACGTACGGGTCTCTCCCATAAAGGAAAATTATAAACCTACTAAATTATTACGCTGGCCAAATGGCTTGGTATAGAGTTTTATTTATAGTTTTTTTTTCTTTTACACTCAAGTATATATTTTATTTTTTATAGAATATAAGCACAGGAGAAGGAAATAGCTTTCAATGATATCCTAGGGACGAAAAGATGACATGCTGTTTTTGTATTTCGTCATAAAAAATTTTTTAATTAAGAAACTATAGTCATTTATAACAATTATATATTTTATACACCGCGCTATTCCTTAACTCTGTTGTGTTGATTAAATTAACACATTCGAATTCATCAATTATAGTGATCAATCAAATAAATCTGTGAAGCCTAAAAGGTACTAGTTAATTGCAAAAGTTCTCCCAGAAAGTTTTGTATTGTTTCTCCTTGGTCGGGGAGAGGTAATCAAAACATACTTATTGATAAACGATATGAATATTTATTATATTATTAATGGAACGCTAATAAATCTGAAATAAAATTGAGTAATGAATGTCTATTTATAAATCTAATTGTCTTAACACTAGTCTGACTGTGGGATAGACAAAGATTCTATTATTCTCTTTATTCTAAAGCATATCTTTTGAGTCATCATTTTCATAAATCATTTCATCTATTTCTATACGTGGCGTCGTATAAAAAATATCTAAATCTCTAAATGCTTAATTATATTATTAATATTTATTATTTTTTATCTGCTGAAGGGTTTAGCGATTAATTACCATTTTACCTAATAAAAAGTGATGATGTGGTCTAAGATGCAGCATGCCGGTCCACGAAAACCTATTCACATTTATCTTAAAACTGTGTAGTTGAAAAAGTATCAGATTGGAAAAGTTAAAAAAAAGAACAGTGTATTATAAAACATCGATAAATTACTTATTTTTTTTATAAATGGTAATACGTGTGTAATATATTATATATAGTTTTCGCCCGCGACTTCATACCCGTGGATTTTGGAAGTTTTACTCTCTTAGGGGTTGTATTTAAAGAGTTTCCTTTCTTATTGTTCACCAACGCTATATAAAGTAAAATATATATGGGTCCGTTGATATATGGGTCAGTCAGTCAGCTACTAATAGTCGTCCCGGAAAAAGGAAACTCTTAAATAAAAAGAAAAGTCAATTAACATCCTCTTTTATATACATAGTTTAAATTTTATAGAATTGTGGTGGAACAACTTTGTTTTTAATCAGCTATAATAGTAAAAAAATACTGCGGAAATTGTATTTTATTTACTAATCCGGATAAAAAATGTTTTATTGTATGGGCAACTGAATCGTTTACATCATATTTCCCTTTAAATACTATTCATACTGTTACAGCTAAAGCGCTGTTTAAACATAGTACTAGTAACGTAGATTGCAGCTACTAAATCATATATTCTTGCGGTGTGGTTAGAGATAAAAATGTATATTTATCAAGTTAAACTGTTGAATGGATTTGAACGAAATTTACTGTACAGAGAGACGTTACACTGCGTGTCTAAGAGAACGTAGTATATGAGTCCGGCGGCTTTGTTCGAGTAAATGAAGTGGTTTATATAATAACAGTGCTCAAAATAATGGATAAATAAAGTAAATACCGTTCTACAAGCATTGTTGGCTGTAATAGGAAGCGATAAAACAGGTAATACGCTACATAAACACATAAAAGTCAGTACAGGCAAATAACACGGTAGGCGCAAGCTGGAAAGGCTTAGTTCACATGCACCTAGGCTTTCAGTCTTGTTAACTCAGACTTCGGTAGCACGGGATGAATTTGCACGATTCATTTGAATGTTCGAAACAACTAGTTATTGGAGGTACTTGATTGTGAGAATAGACTATTTGAATAATAGAAAGGGAAATGCTGTTTGAGTTATGCTTCATGATTACTGTCGCTCGCGTTGTTCTTTGTAAACAGGCATGTTGAATGTTACCTGCGCTCAATGGTAACAGTCGAGAAATACATCTTATGCCTTGCCATTCGTGAAGATCTAAGTACTTTGTAATTTCAATACCTAATGTTCAAATACGGTAATGGAAGGACAGGATAGTTTAACGCCAGGAACATGATTAGGACCAAAGTATCCAAGTAGACGAATTTTGTATAAGAGGGTGGACACCCTCTGTTATTCATAATTATTGTTGTGAGCATATTTTCCTTTATTAATTATTTGATAAGCAATTAGTAAATGTATTAAATATTCTGACTGTGGTGTTCATAAAAATGGTCGGGACACGGTTCAATTTTTACCGTCTGCGGTTACAATTAATGTGGCGAATTTTCCTTCCACCTAAAAAATTCATAAGCACGAACGAATTCGAGGTAAATTGTAGTTCTATAATAATACTGATTTGTAGATAGGTCTGTAGGTAAAATTTTGATACATAAATTCATTTGTCCGAATTGGAATTTCACCCTTTCTCCTTCTGCTTGGCTGAGAAGTAGATGGTGATTATGGAAATTTCTCGGCAATAAACATATTTTTTGCGTATAAATTTAACAAGCGTACCAATGTGGTATATTGAATTTTTATGAGTATTGTGTTCCCGACACCACTGTAGCAATGTTCTGGTTACTTGCGCTTCTATTGTGAATTGCTAACAATGGAAATAACTATATATGTGGACAAGCAAGTAGCCGTTCTAATTTTATAGATGTGAAAGAAGTTCCGTTTATTTGTTAGTTTTATGGTTAAACGGCTAATTAAATTTTGATAATATCTGGTATAGTATTCCCAAAGAACCAGCAAGGAAGAATTCTAAGCAACTTTAAAAAGGAGATTTTCTATTTAAATATCTTTTTACGACTGCTTAAAAAAGGAGTGTAATGTTTTTAGGGCTACTGTATGCAAGTAAGTTTCCTTATATTCTTTAGACCTTAGCTACACTATTTTTGTAAATAGTTCGTTTTGTGAAGGCAATTGTGTTTTTAAATTTGTTTAGTAAAATACATCATATTATTATATCAGCCGTTAACTGCCCACTGCTGAAAATAGGCCTCATTCATAAGGGCTTTGCAACGCTTGGCAGGCGGATTGGCAACTGCAGTTAGGCTTTGGTGATGTTTTAAAAAGGATGCTGTTACTCACTCCTCGGCTATTAAGTTGCCTATTACGGTATCCACGAGAAAGGAAGCGGTGGCCTATTCTATATTAGGACCACACGGCGGCAAAATATAGCAAAATACGCTAAGCGGTTGCAAAATATACTTGTTTCTAAAAGTGTTACCCGATATTTTTATTAACTGTGTAAATTAATGCAAATTACGTGAAAAATAGAAGTTTTTTTTTTAAATAAACCTGGGTTGGTATAGGGTTTTATTTCGAATTTTCTTTTGTGCTGGTGTATTGTGCTTTATTCCTAAGGGAATAAAATACAATACGCACATAAGTCGGCTTGCATGAAAAGGGGCCGAGGCACATTGTATTCTTTCTTCGTCACCACGCGGAATTTGTAATACATATGTACATTTGCATTATTCCAATTCAACATTCACTACTAGGTATATTGATAATACATTGTGGAGAATCTTGAGTAGCTGTATTTTTTTTTATACAACTTAGAATGTCAAACAAGCTGACGGCCCACCTGATGAAAAGTGGTAACCGT